GGGGGTGAGAGCCGCGGGGCGGCCCGGTGACACCGGCTGTGACCGTGGGACAACCGGACGCGGTGATTCGGGAGCGCGGCTGCGCTGCGCCCTCGGGGGGGGCGCGCACGAAGCTCGGTTTCCCCGCCCTGCAAAGGCGGCGGTGCGGGGCTGTGCGCGGTGCGGAGCCGCCGTCCGCCGCCGTGACCCCGCAGTCCCCGGGCGCCGGAGCCGGGGCTATTCCGGGAGTGAGGGCGGCAGAGCCAGAAATAGAGCGAGGGAGGGTGGGGCCGGGCGGGGGAACGCGGGGATGGGATGCGGAGGGCACGGGGATGTGGGGACGCGGGGATGGGACGTGGGGATGTCGTGGAGAGGGGTGTGGGGCAGCGGGATGGGATGAGGAGGTGTATCGGGGGGAAGGGGGGCGTGGGATGGAGCGCGGGGTGGGGACGTGGGGACAGATTAAAGGGGTGTGGGGACGCGGGAATGGGATAGAGGTGGGGACAGGGGTGGGTAGATAGGGGTATGAGGGCGTGGGGAGGGGTGGAGCGGGATATGGGGGTGTGGGGCAGGATGAAGTGGGGAGTGGGTTCATGGGAACGGGACAGAATAGGGTACAGGAACGGGGGGACTGCATGGGGTGAAGTGTGGGGACAGGAGGGTGGGGTGCAGCGAGGTACGGAGATGTGAGGATGGGATGGAGGGGGGTGCGGAGACTTGGGGCAGAGTAGAGTGGGATGTGGGGACCCGAAGGGGGGCACAGTGACACGGGGACAGCGTGGAGTCTGGTGCAGGGATGTGGGGCCGGGAAGGAGCGAGGCACGGGGTGCAGTGACACACACAGGGTCCCCACCCGGGGCTGCGGACGTGGGCTGCTGCTGGTGGCACCGAGGTGACAAGGGTGGTCTCTAGTGGCGGGGGGCGAGGACTGCCTGTGGTACGTGGACAAGAACGGCTCGTGGCATCCCGGCTTCGACTGCGAGGCTCTGTCCTTCTGCTGCGGCTCCTGCCACCAGCGGTACTGCTGCTACGACCCCCTGCGCCTCCTGACCGAGCGCCAGCAGCGCCACTGCCTCGCCTTCAGGTGCTGGGGCTGGGAGTCACTGCTGGGTGATGGGCGTCAATCAGTGCTGGGTGCTGGGAGTCACTGCTGGGTGCTGGGCATCAATCACTGCTGGGTCCTGGATGTCACTGCTGGGTGCTGGGAGTCACTGCTGAGTGCTGAAAGTCACTGCTGGGTGATGGGCATCACAGCTGGGTGCTGGGCATCAATCACTACTGGGTCCTGGGCAGTACTGCTGGGTGCTGGGCATCAATCAGTGCTGGGTGCTGGGTGTCATTGGTGGGTGCTGGACATCACTGCTGGCGCTGGGCATCAATCACTGCTGGGTGCTAGGAGTCATTGCTGGGTGCTGGGAGTCATTGCTGGGTGCTGGACATCACTGCTGGGTGCTGGGTGTCACAGCTGGGTGCTGGGCATCATTGCTGGGTGCTTGGCATCAATCAGTGCTGGGTGCTGAGTGTCATTGCTGGGTGCTGGACATCACTGCTGGGTGCTGGGCATCAATCACTGCTAGGTGCTGAGAGTCACTGCTGGGTGCTGGGAGTCATTGCTGGGTGCTGGGCATCAATCAATGCTAGGTGATGGGTGTCACTGCTGGGTGATGGGCATCGATCAGTGCTGGGCATCACTGCTGGGTGCTGGGAGTCATTGCTGGGTGCTGGACATCACTGCTGGGTGCTGGGCATCAATCACTGCTGGGTGCTGGGAGTCATTGCTGTGTGCTGGACATCACTGCTGGATGCTGGGCATCAATCAATGCTGGGTGCTGGGCATCACAGCTGGGTGCTGGGTGTCACTGGTGGGTGCTGGGCATCAATCACTGCTGGGTGCTGGGCATCACTGCTGGGTGCTGGGCATCACTGCTGGGTGCTGGGAGTCACTGCTGGGTGCTGGACATCACTCTGGGTGCTGGACATCACTGCTGGGTTCTGGGCATCACTGATGAACACTGGGATCTGGGTGCTGGGCATCAATGTTGAGTGCTGGGCATCAATCACTGCTGGAGGCTGGGATCCGGGTGCTGAGAATGGACGCTGGGTGCTGGCTCTGGGTGCTGAGCACCACTGCTGGGTGCCTGCTTTTGGGCTCTGGGATCAGAGCGCTGTCCCTCAGCCCTAAGACCATCGCGGGCATCGCCTCGGCCGTGGTGCTGTTCATCGCCATCGTCACCACCATCGTCTGCTGCTTCATGTGCTCCTGCTGTTATCTCTACCAGCGGCGGCAGCACCTCCGCACACCCCTGCAAGGTGGGAGCTGGGGGGGGGGAGGGAGGGCGAGAGATTTGGGTGTAGGATGGGGGTCTGTGGGGGTGTAGGGTGGGGATTGGGGCTGCGAGGGGGGATTTGGGATACAGAAGGAAAGATTTGGGGTGCAAAGGGTGGGGGCTGGAGTACAGAAGGAGGGCTTCGGGGTGCTGGGTGGGGGATTTAGGGTGCAAGGGAGGACTTGGGATGCACGATGGGGGATTTGGGATGCAGGTTAGGGAAGTCGGGGTTGGCACAGGGTAGCAATGGGTGGCAGCCCCCAGCCCTCTCTCCTACAGGCCCTGAGATCCCGCTGGCCAGCTATCCTGCACCCCCACCTGCTCCCTTCCCTGTGGACCCCAAAGCCGGCCCTGTGCCCCCCCAGCCCGGCTTCACCCCCATGGCCATGTACCCACCCAGCGGCCCCGCCGCCCAGTACCCGCTGTACCCCTCAGGACCCCCAGTCTACAACCCTACAGGTGAGCGCCGGGTCCCCCCTAAAAGCACCACAGCCTTTTGGGGGGGGCCCACACCGACCCCCCCTCCTTCTCTCTCCGCAGCACCACCACCCTACGTCCCCGCACAGCCCAGCTATCCCGGTGCCTGAGCCCCCCTGGGGACCCCTCTCTCACTGGGGACACCCATAGGGGACACAGCAGGGGGGGGGGGGAACTCGCTGTCCCCACCCCGGGGCCGCGATTCTGCCCTGCGATGCTCATGGAAATCTCTGCCCCCCGCCCCCCCCGGTCATTGTGGGGACAAGCAGCACAGAGTGCCTTTTGTCCCCACTGCACACACTGGGCGCATTGTGGGTGCTCATGGGGGGGGAGGCCGTGCATGAAGGTGGGGGCAGCGAAGCCGGGGGTCCCCCTGCCCTCCGGCACCGGGGGGGCACCGTGGTCCAAATGGGCAGCATTAAACTGCGTGTCCCCCCGGATTGGTGTTGTGTCAATGCCTCCACACCCTTTGGGGGGAGAGGAGAAGGCGGGAGGGGGGGAACAGATTTCAATGTGGTCGCGTTCCTCCTCCTCCTGAACATTCCTACATCCCCAAACCAATCATTTCCTTTTAGCAACTCCTCCCCCTCCCCCCCCAAAAAAAAAAACCGACACAGAACCGGGGCGCAAACCCCGACCGCGGTGGCATTTTGGGGTCACAAGCACCAAACCCACAGCCCTGAGTGCAGCTCAGTGATTTCCCCACCGCTCTGCGCCGCGGGGGCCGGGACGCGTCTCCCCCCCATCCGCTGTGGGCTGTGATTCACTGCCTATTTTCGGAGTGATTCACACCGTGCAGCGGCACGGAGGAGGGGGGGGGGTGGAGGAAGGGAGGGAGGCGGACTAAATTTGGGACCGCCACATCCCGGCGGCCTGAGTGGGACCCACAGTGCTGATGCACTGCACGGAGCTGTGGGGTTTTTGCTGCCCGCCCCACCTCTGGGCTCTCAGCACCGCACCGCACCCCAACCTCTTTCCTATGAAAAAAAAACCCCTCAGCCACCCGCGGCTCCTGAGGAGGGGGAAACCGAGGGGCCAGCGCTGAGTTTTATTGAAGTGGGAGTTCAAATAATAAAAAGGGGACGGGAGGCGCGGGTGGGGGGCGGCTCAGGGTTGGGGGGCCGCGTGCCCCCCGAGGTAGCGCTCGCGGATCTGGGCCAGGCTGGCACTGAGGCCGCCCAGCGCCTGAGCGATGCTGCGCAGCACCGCTGCCATCTCCCGGCGGCTCTCGGCGCACTCCCTGCGGAAGGCTCGCATCTCCTGCACCAGGCGCTCGTTGCAGCGGATGAGGCGCAGCTCGGCCGGGCTGAGCCGGGCGCTGCTTTCCGGGGTCCCGTCCGTCGCTCCGGGGGTTCCCCCCCCCGTTTCGCTGCAGTCACTGAGCTGTTCGGTGTCCGGCTCGAAGATGACGCTGCTGGGAAAGTCGCAGCCCGGAGGTTCTGGTTGTATCCCCAGGTCGGGCTGGGGGGGCTGCGGGGGGCTCCAGCCCTCGCCGGGTGTCTGGGTGCTGCTGCGGGGCTGCCGCCGCGCCGGGACGGCGCTGCCATCCGTGGGGTCGTGGAAGGGCTCCGTCTTCACCTCCATCGGTTCCTCCTTCACCGCCTCCTCCTTCACACCTGCGCAGGATGCAGTGCTGTCACATCGCTGTCACATCGCTGCCACATCGCTGCCACCCCCCACCCCCTGGTGGCCTTTGGGAGCCCCCGGTGCTGGGATTTGGGGCAGGAAGCGCCGCGCCGTGGGGACACCCAACCCCACAGCACTCATGTCCTGCATCCCTGTACATCGCTGTGTGCTCAGTGCCCACCCACCCCCATCCACTTCCCTCATCCCTCTATCTGCATCCCACATCCCCATCCCGGTACTCCCGTGTCCCTTGTCCATTCGCAGCCCCTCCTCATGTCCCCATCCCTGTCCTGCTCTCCCGTGTCCCTGTTTGACTCCACCACATCCCTCCCTGGACCACGTCCTGCCCAATCCCTGTGTCCCATGTCCCTCTCCTGGTCTCCACGGCCCTATCCCTGTCCAGGTTCAGCCCCGTATCCCATCTCCCTCTCACGGCCCTTATGTGCCCATCCCACTCCCCCATATCCCCACCTCGCTCCTGTTCCCTACCCCATGTATCCGCTCCCCATATCCACGTCCCACCCACACCCACCCCATATCCCTGTCCCACCCCCTCCTCCCCGTCCCGCTCCTTTCCCCCATCTTCTCCCCACCCCATCCTCCCCATCCCACCCCGCTCCGTTCCCGCACACACCGCACGGTGCCGCCCGCTCCCCTCCGAGCAGCGGCGCCGCTTCGCCGCCGCGCGGTCCCCATAGAGGCGCGGGTCCGGGGCCGGGCTCAGCGCTGGCGGTGCCGGTTCCGGCGGCCCCGTGGTGCCGGGCCGCGTTGGTTCGCGGTGCCGGTCCCTGCCGCTCCTGCCGGTGCCGGGTGATTTTATCGTTGGCGCGGCGGCGCAGCCCCCTCCAGCGGTTCTTCACCTCGCCGATGTCGCGCTGGTTGCGGCCGGCGGCGTTGATCTTATTGGTGATGCGCCACCAGATCTTCTGCTTCTCGTAGGCGTTCACGGTGCTGGCGGCGGCGCCGAAGAGCAGCGGTTCGTAGCGGAGCACTTCGCTCATCAGGATCTCGATCTCCTGCAGCGTGAAGTTGGGCTTCCGCTTCAGCA